GATGGTCGCATTTCAATGGAACAGTGCCAGCTTTGGAGGAGGGCAGGTGAGGTGCTGTTGGCCATTTCAGGATGATTTCAAAGGTAGCAGATTCGCTGCCAGGGGCAGCCTTGAAATGCTGGGGCAGGCATGTCAAGCACCCATTCAAGTATCATTGCCTGGTTTCCTCGAGCGTGCTCACTCAACATCAAACTCTGGGTTGCGCTTGCTTGTATGTGCCATTGCAGCTGTCCTGTGTTTGCTGTGCAGTGTGCGTGCATGCTTGCTCCTGGGAGGCGTGATTTCCAGACAATAATGGAACAGCACTGACCTCAACAGGGCGACAATGCCTGCATGAAATACCTGTGAGGACTCTTCTTGGCACATAGGCCTTTGACACTTGGGAGCATTGGATGCAATGGCAGTTTGTGCCTGAATGCAAGCCATCGACACGACATGCTGAGGGGATGTATCCCAATGGTTCAATAGAACGAAAGAAACTACTAACGTTGGCCAACCTGATGCTTCTGCTGTCGATCTGTAAAATCATCGCCAATTGCTTGCCACGCCACATCTGGATGCGGACCACCAGGTGCTGGCAAATGGGGTAATTCAGGGATTCGCTGCGATTCCCACTTCCAAAATTCACTCTGGAGATACCTCAATTTGTCTTCATGTGCACCCAACCAACCAAACAACCTCGCAGCACCTGGTATTACAGTTTGAACTCCCCATACACGTGGCCAAAAAACAGCGTGCAAATGGTTGCCCAAGCCCTCAGGCCCTGTCCTTGAGTGCACTGATGTACCCATGACTCAACTCCCGTCCCTGCAACTGCAGCCACCACCTGAACCAATGCGGCCAGGCAAGGGAGCGACTGAAGCGCAGGGCAGGCACCTTTGCTTTGGCCAATCACCAGCACATTTTGCAGGTTTCGAAAGCACCAAGAACGGCAAGACAACTCATGGACGATTCAGAAAACAAAAATTGCTGTTGATTACCTTGTCGTCGTTGAGCCCCCTTTGCCTCAGTGGATGGATGCAGTCGAAAGATTCGCACATGTACAGTGTGCATCCATTCACGTGAGGTCGTCAAGCATCGTATCCCCTTTCGATGGCAATCGTGCAGAATACACCAGCGACTGGGAAGCTTCCTTTTGCAATGGTGTGCCGTGTCCCAAACGCACGAAACCTTCCTGGTAATGAAGGTGCAGCAGACATTGCTCACCAGTCGCCAGGTTTAGGGGGCCGCGATGAGTGGCGGGCCCTCGGCGCACAAGAAGCTTGTGCGCATGGTGGCCAGGGCGTTCTACGCGGGGCCCTGTCCACCCCGAGAAGCGGAAGAACATGCCATATCCAGCGGGAAGTGGGAGAAGGTGACAGGAGGCCTCGCGAGCACTATCTCATCCCTGAAGACTCGCCCATGCACGGCCGTATCACCATCATTCGGGCTCCATGCTGCCCCGGCTTGGTGTTGTTTGCAAAATGGTGCCTCGGTGCGGTTGAAAATGCCGACAGAACACGGGCATATACTGCCCAGGCAGTAACCAAACACCAAACATATCCACCAAACATCACTTCAACGGTTGTCGCCGCAAGTAAACAGCCAGCTAGAACAAACAGCGTGTGTCGATGACTGAATGGGACAGGGCTGGCAGGACTGGCCGGTGATAGGTGCCTTTCCTGAACTGAACAGAGCTTTGCCACTGGCTGACAGAGTAGCAAGACAAGAATGGCGCTGAATAATGGGTGGCCCTTTTGCCAGATGGACACGACGGGCTTGGGGGTTGTTATCTTGGACGCCTTGACCCAGAAGGCGTGGGTAGAGGAGAACACCCTGGCTGAGGAGCTACAGATCGATCGTCAGCTCCTTAGGAGGGCCCTGAATCACTTCGAGTTGGAACACATCGTCAGGAGAGAGCACAAGAAGGAGGGCAAGAGGGCACAGCACAGGGACGTGGTGGTGCTTGCCACAAAAGGTCCTGGAAGGTGCCTGCCACAATAATGGTACAATAGTCTCTGGACTTGTGTGCTGACAGTGCGTGTCGCAACTGTGAGCACTGTTAGAAAGGGGTGGGCAGTTTGTCTGGATGCAGAGAGCCTGAAGTTGTGGTTTGGAGTTGCCCAACTGTCAGTGCATGCAAACAAGGACATGGCTGGCAGTGTGCACAGCAGATGGCCTGTGTTTCCATTCGTTGTGTTGCAAGGAACATTGCCCGCAGGAAGAAGATACACCAGCTTGATTGTAGGAAATGGACTGAGTGGACTTTTTCCTTTGCAGACAAACAGAATGGTGAGGAGCAGCCAGCAGCAAAGGCCATGTTGCATTCCTACTGTGCTATTGACTACCCCCAGTTCCTAGACCGGCTGAACCTCTGTCTGTACAACATGAGGCAAAGGTTGAAGTCGGAAGACAAGGATTCGGATATGCGTTACGCATGCCCACATTGTGGCAGGGAGTTTACCTCCATTGATGTGCCAGGGCTCATGGCACTCCTGAAGGAAATGGGAGAGCATTTGGAAAGTGGGCAGTTGCTATGCGACGAGTGCCTACTCCCCCTCCAGACTGGAAACACTGAGGACAGAAAAAAGAGAAGGGAGGCAAGTGATCATGAGCAAGAGGGATATATGGCTATCAGTATGTGTGTTGCTTGTGGCTCAAAGAACACTGCTGGCTCACTGTGCCTGAGTATTCATGTCCTTCCACCCTTCCACGCGTGAGAACATCCTGTTCCTGGTTGTGACATCTCTATCTTTGCCGTTCTGTCCCAGTATGGATCCTCGTGGATATGGCCTGTGTTGGCACACAAACTGATGGCTAGTGTGGTACGCACTCTGTGTTCCCCTGTGGCCTTCTGATGGCCCTGCATTTGCACCCACCCATAATCGAGCAGAGCAAGAACTGCTGCTTGTTTTGCATTAGCCCATAAACTTAGCGCTGTCGAACCTTGCACTTAAACTCCATCCGCGTGGGTCTTGTCTAATCCCACAGCATCCCAAAGTACTCCTTGTCAGCATTCTGAAAGTGAGGTAAACAAAGGCAAACTGTTCCTCAGATGTGCTTTGAGTATTGCACAGAACTTGTGAACCAACATGTCCGGTTGCTCTTCACTTTGTGGCGCCTGATTCCAAGTGTGGCTGTGCCCACAGGAACGTTGGGAGTTGTTACACAAAATGGAGAAAGAGCTGAAGCCCATAACCGAAAAGTTGGACGAAATAAATGGGCAACAGATAACGCCCCCAGACTATGGCAAACTGACTGACTGGGCTCAAAACAGGGCTGCTGAAGCAAGGCGAGCTCAAGCAGGTATTGACCCAGCCCGTGAAGTTTGCTGACTGACTTGAGATGCCAATAGTCTATCAATAGTCTATCTTGCAGCTGTGCTGTCTGTGGCAGCTATTGCTTTGATGATACCTGTGCCCGGAAGTCAATAGAAATATCTGTGAATGCATGGTTGTGTTTTTAAAGGCAACGTGAAAGCACAAGGGTCATGTCGCATGTTTTACCGACTTCAAATCGTTCGACATCGTCAGGTTTCTGTGGCCTACACATGGCCTCACAGTGATTGACGTAAACATCCAATTCCCACACCATCAGAGGACACCATACACAGGTTCACAAGTCACAACTACAACCAGAGAGACCCCATGTTGATGTCTCTCCTCACTGGTCACCCCTGCCAGGGACCCGCAGATGTCTCAATCGACCACGTTTGTGAGCAGCCACAACCAGAATCAAGGAGTGCATCCAACTTTGGATGCGCTTCAGGTGGCACAGCAATGTGTCAGGGGATCTGAGCAACAGGACGAGTTTCAAGCAGATAGTCAAGTGTAAGGTGGGCATCATGATTTCATGTGGAATCTTATCTTGCACATTTGCTCCAGTTGGTGTTGCCACGATGAAGATTCAATATGATTAATTCATGTTGCTACAGGTGGGCAAGGGTGCGCTAGTGGAAACAAGGTTGAGATTGAAGTATTAGGATCTCCCTTGAAGGGGAACCAGGGCCCCACCACAGCTCCAGCAGCAACAAGAGAAGAACAGCTGCCACCTTGGATGATGGTGAAGGGGATGGAGGTACAACATTTTGAGTGTCCTAATTGAAATCGCCACTGTTGAAGACTAGCTGTGCGCCTCAAGTAGTATGGTGACACAATATGTGTCTGTAAGACATGCACAACGTTTCTTTACACGTGCTGGTTACGCAGAAGGCACCAGGCAAAGTTGGCTGTACTCAGAAGGAAAATCCACTTGTGAAGTGTCACGCAACTTACTTACTGTGCAACTTCTCCCTAATCGACCCTGTCTTCTGTCAACTAGGCTCCAAGAATTGTCATGCATGTGCAGACTTGAGACCAGACCTGCAAAAACTTGTAGCTCTGAATGCATGCGGTATTGGACTGCTGCAGGCCTCCACCCTGGCTCAGCACAGTCCCTGCACTGAGGCAGGCAGCAGGATGTGTCCGTCACATGCCACCGCAGCACTGGCAGACAGAGATGGGGCATCCCTTGTGGCAGATGGAGATGTGCAATTCAAGCGTGTTCTTGATGAGGTCAAAAGAAGATACACATCTGACAACTCTATGAAGGCCTCTAAGACACAGCAGGAGGTACTTGGGCACACGTGGCTGCATCGAACACCACCATCACCGAGGCCCCCGCTTCCCTCCTCACCCCTCCCCTCTGCGCAGATGCGGAATCAGCTTTGTCATAGTTGCTGTTGATAGTCCTCCAACAACTGATTTTTGAAGGCTTCAGGGAATTGCAGTGCCTTGGCCTACGGTAATACTGATGTTCAAATCCAAAAAGAGCAGCTGAGCAGTGGGGGTGTTCCTAGCATCAGAATCATCTTTGTGCTGGTGTATCACCCACATGCACATCTAAATCACTGGACACTAGCTTTTGACACTCGATGTGTTGAACGGTGAACCCTTCCTGTGCTGTCCCAGGGCTCCCCCTACAGCTCCTGTCTTGTGTGAGGAAAAGGGGGACTTTAGCCCTGCATGCATGTAATTTGACATCTTGACCCACATGCACATGGATGCTTAGGACTGTGCCTTGCCTGTTGCCAATCATAGGCGTAGTTGAACGCAGGCATGTGCATGGCCCCATCCATTGACTGCTGTTTTTGCTGCTGTGGGTGCCAGTTGTTGGGCTTGCGCATGGCTCTGTGTGGTCCATTCCAAAACCTTGCAAGACGGCCCTCGTGCTGTTTCTGTGTGTCATAGGCCGCTGGGATCAAGCGAGAGGTGGTGGACGGAAAAGAGACCAGAAGCCCCTCCAAGAGACTGAAAATGGATGACGAAGGGGACATGGAGGAGGAGCAAGAGCACCTGCAGGACGAGACAGTCTGGGAAGATGTTAAACCTGTTGAGCAAGGTACTAGCCATTTGCGCTGCCCCTGCAGGTTGCAATGCATGTGCAGTGTGTTCTATTGACAGCTGGATTGCTGGGCCTCCTGATTTTGACCTTGTGTTTCCAGAATGTTCACCACTTTCGGATTGTAAAGCGAAGAAGCAGAGAGGTACCCAACCTGTTGAACTTTTGTCTCCACCCTCTCCAACGAAATGTTGGCTAGTACATCAACCTGCAAAATGGTTAATTGTTGGAGTTTGCTTGAGTTGAGGCAGTTCTGTTTACTCACAGATGACAACGACAAAGACGACGACATCGAGTGGGTTGATGCTTGTGCTTCCTGATGTTGGGACGGTGTCAATAGACTTGGGAGGTCGATGCATCGGACTACATCGCAGACTGCTTCACTGCTGATCATCTGAAACACTGCTGCGGCCTTAAAACGCGATTTTATGGACGCAGAATAGCTACAATTTGATTTGTTATGTAATAGTGGGAGCCGTGGAGGGTAGTTGTGTGCGCTAAACATCACGCGCCAATGGGGCCCGCAAGTTTGGCATTGCTCTTAATGCTGACGCTGATGGCAAATAGGGTAATTCAAAGACTCACTGCGATATTTCCCACTTCCCAAACTGACTACTGAGATGGCATATGTGTCAACTTGTTCACGGCCCTACTTCCAAACACGGAGCACTCTGCTATTGCAGTTTCTGCGCCGCATGCACGTTGGCAACAAACAGTGTGCAAGCTTTTTGCCCAGCACCTCAGGCCCCGTCCTCGAGTGCAGCAGCGCGCCCATACCTCAGCTCGCGTCCCTGAAACTGCAACCACCGCCTGAAGCAACGAAGCCAGGCCAGACTGCGATTGACATAGAGGACACGTTCGCTTTGGCCAGTCAACAGCACCTTGTCCAGGCCTTGAACCACCTTGGACGGCATGGCAGCTCATGAGCGATTCAGGAAACAAAAAATGCTGTCCATGGCCTTGTCGGCTCTCATTTCCTCAGCGGGAGGATGCAATCGAAGGGATTGCATTGTCCCGTTGGATACTAAGCCCTTCCGCATTTTGAAAATTCAGCGTTGTGGTTTTTGCTTCGCACTTTCTGGGCAGAACGTTATGTGTATTTCACTGTGCTCCGCATCGTGTCCAGCGGGAGCAGGCTGGGCAAAACAACATGTTGGCCAAATTTCAGGTGGAGCTGACCAGTCAACAGGCTTCCACTATACGTGCACGGTGCGACCCACGCAAGTGGCTCACAAAGCTATTAACAGCGGAACGTTCTGCCTGTCCCTGGTCTTGGGGACGGTTCGCAAAATCCTCAGCGACGCGCCGGTGCAGCGGCTCGTACATTCGAGGCCGCCAGACGCAGCGAGCAGTACGGCGACCCTCGCGTCACCCAACTGCACTGCGGGGTGGTGCCAACCCAGCTGGGCCGTTACTTTTCCGGTTGCTTCGCATTTTTTATTTGCACTGTTGCGCTTTTTATTATTGCTCCGCAAAAATAGGCCAAACGCTACGTTATGGTGCGCAATGCGTCTATTGGTGCGAAGGGGTCAAAGGCCATATCCTGTTTCGGGGACAGCCTCGCAGAAAACGAGGAAGCTTCTTTTTGCAATGATGTGCGGCGTCCTAGACCCTGCTGGTGTTATTGAAGGGCCAGCAGACATCATTGCGTGCCATTCGCCGGGTTTGTGGGCCGCGATGAGTGGCGGGCCCTCGGCGTACAAGAAGCTTGTGCGCATGGTGGCCAGGGCGTTCTACGCGGGGCCCTGTCCACCCCGAGAAGCGGGAGATAACGCCATCTCCAGGGGAAAGTGGGAGAAGGTGACAGGAAGCCTCACGAGCACTGACCCGCACATGCGCGGCCGTGTCAGCATCAATCGCGCTCCCTGCTGCCCCGGCTTGGTGTTATTTGCAAAAATTGGGCCCCGGTGCGGTTGAAAATGTCGAGAGAAAGTTGGTCTGTGTGCATGTCTTCTTCAAAGGCACATGCACAGCCTGGGGAGTTGCCGCATGCCAACCCGCCATATACACCAAACATCACTTGAACGGCTGTCACCGCAAGTGAACAGCCAGCTGGAACAGACAGCGCGTGTGGATGACTGAACGGGGAAGGGCTGGCACGATTGGCTTGGGTGGCAGGTGCTCTCTTGCACTGAACTGAGCTCTGCCACTGGCTCAAAGAGTGGCACCGATAGGCTGCTCAGTAATGGGTGGCGCATTTGTCAGGTGGACACGACGGGCTTGGGGGTTGTCATCTTGGACGCCTTGACCCAGAAGGAGTGGATAAAGGAGGACGCCCTGGCTGAGGAGCTCCAGATAGACGGCAAGCTCTTTAGGAGGGCCCTGAGGCACTTCGAGGTGGAACACATCGTTAGGAGGGAGCACAGGAAGGAGGGCAAGAGGGCACAGAACAGGGACGTGGTGCTGCTCGCCACTAAAGGTCCTGGAACGTGCCTGCCACAATAATGGTACAATGGTCACTGAACTTCACTGAGAGTGTGTTTTGCAAGTGTGGGCACTGTTGCAAAGGGGTGGACTGTGCGTCAAGTCCCTGTCCATGCTGACAGGGACGCTACTGAGTGCACAGCATATACCTGTGTTTCCACTATTGGTGTGGACAGAAACATTGCCCGCAGGAAGTAGTTACACGGGCTTGGCTGTAGGAAATGGACTGAGTGGACCCTTTCCTTTGCAGACAAACAGAATGGTGAGGAGCAGCCAGCAGCAAAGGCCAAGTTGCATTCCTACTGTGCTATTGACTACCCCCAGTTCCTAGACCGGCTGAACCTCTGTCTGTACAACATGAGGCAAAGGTTGAAGTCGGAAGACAAGGATTCGGATATGCGTTACGCATGCCCACATTGTGGCAGGGAGTTCACCTCCATTGATGTGCCAGGGCTCATGGCACTCCTGAAGGAAATGGGAGAGCATTTGGAAAGTGGGCAGTTGCTATGCGACGAGTGCCTACTCCCTCTCCAGGAACTGTTCTATGACGGCCAGACTGGAAACACTGAGGACAGAAAAAAGAGAAGGGAGGCAAGTGATCATGAGCAAGAGGGATATATGGCTATCAATATGTGTGTTGCTTGCGGCTCAAAGAACACTGCTGGCTCACTGCGCCTGAGTATTCATGTCCTTCCACCCTTCCACGCGTGAGAACATCCTGTTCCTGGTTGTGACATCTCTATCTTTGCCGTTCTGTCCCAGTATGGATCCTCGTGGATATGGCCTGTGTTGGCACACAAACTGATGGCTAGTGCGGTACGCACTCTGTGTTCCCCTGTGGCCTTCTGATGGCCCTGCATTTGCACCCACCCATAATCGAGCAGAGCAAGAGCTGCTGCTTGTTTTGCATTAGCCCATAAACTTAGCGCTGTTGAACCTTGCACTTAAACTCCATCCGCGTGGGTCTTGTCTAATCCCACAGCATCCCAAAGTACTCCTTGTCAGCACTCTGAAAGTGAGGTAAACAAAGGCAAACTGGTCCTCAGATGTGCTTTGAGTATTGCACAGAACTTGTAAGCCAACATGTCCGGTTGCTTTTCACTTTGTGGCGCCTGATTCCAAGTGTGGCTGTGCCCACAGGAACGTCGGGAGTTGTTACACAAAATGGAGAAAGAGCTGAAGCCCATAACCGAAAAGTTGGACGAAATAAATGGGCAACAGATAACGCCCCCAGACTATGGCAAACTGACTGACTGGGCTCAAAACAGGGCTGCTGAAGCAAAGCGAGCTCAAGCAGGTATTGACCCAGCCTGTGAAGTTTGCTGACTGATTTCAGATGCCAAAGGCTAGTCTATCTTGCAGCTGTGCTGTCTATCGCAGCTATTGCTTTATATGACTCCCATGTCTGTTAGCCTTTGCATAACAATGTCTGTGAACGAATGATTGTGTTTTTAAGGGCAACGTGAAAGTACAACACACTGGTCATGCCGCTTGACAGCACTGAACCCAAGTCCTCAGACAGCGCCAGGTCTCTAGCAGCCTACACGTTGCCTCATGATGCTTGGCAGATACGCATCAACCCACACAAGTATGCAGATTCACGAGTGGCAAATACACCCCAGAGAAACTCCAGTGTTTGTACATGTCCCTCCACACCCGTTATACATCTTGACGCCCTACAGATGTCTCAATCAACCATGTATGTGAGACATAAACCACAGAATCAAGAAATACACGCAGTTTTGGATGCACATCAGGGGGCATGGCAATGAGTCAAGGAATCTGGGCTACAGGAACAGTTTCAAGCAGATACGCAGTGTTAAGATGGCCTACTTGATTTCATATGCAACCTTGTCTTGCACATTGGCTCCAGCTGGTGCTGCCGCAACGAATATTCAATCCGATTGACTCATGTTGCTTTGCCACAGGTGGACAAGGTGGCGCTGGTGCTAACCAGGTTGAGATTGAAGTATTGGGGTCTCCGTTGAAGGGCACCAGGGCTCCACCACAGCCCATGCAGCAGCAAGAGAAGAAGCAGCTGCCACCTTGGATGCTGGCGAAGGGATTGCAGGTACAACAATTTGAATCTCTTGATTGACAGCTGCATTGTTGAAGACTGGCTGCTGTGAGCCTCAGCATAATGTGGTGGTGGAGCATGTGCCTGCCAAATGTTCGCAACGTTCCTTTTATGTGATGGCTGATTCGCAATGCTGCTCTGGGAATGAAAATCTGCTGGTGAAGTCCATGTGTCATATACCTTACTTTCTGCCCAACTTTTTCACTAATCACGCTTGTCTTCTGTCAATTAGGCTCCACAAGTTGTCATGTGTGTGCAAACTTGAGACCAGCCCTGAGAAAACTTGTGAATCTGAATGCATGCGATATTGGACTGCTGCAGACCTCCACCTTGGCTCAGCCCAGCACTGAGGCAGGCAGCAAGATGGGTCTGCCTTATGCTGCCACGGCACTGACAGACAGAGACGGGGCATCGCTTGTGGCAGACGGAGATGTGCAGTTCAAGCGCGTTCTTGATGAGGTCAAAAGGAGATACGCATATGACAAAGCTATGAAGGCCTCTAAGAAACAGCAGGAGGTACTTGGGGACACTTGGCTGCAGACAACGCCACCCTCCCCCTCCCTTCCTTCTTCCCCCTTCGGCTCTCCTCTGCACAGATGCGAAAATCAACCTGTTTAGAATTGTTGCGGATAGTCCAACAGTTGATATTCCAATGCTTCAGGGTATTGCAATGCCTTTTCCTGCTCTAAGACAGATGCTAAAAGCCTATTGGAGCAGCGAGCTGCAGGGCTGTTCCGTACATCAGAGGCATCTTTGTGCTGATATCGCCCACAGGCACATGAATGCTTAGGACTGTGCCTTGCCTGTTGCGAATCACAGGCATGTGCATGGCCCCATCCATTGATTGCTGCTTTTGCTGCTGTGGATGCCATTTGTTGGGCTTGCATGTGGCTCCGTGTGATACATTGCAAGACCTTGCAAGATGGCCCCAGTGCTGTCTCTATGTGCCACAGGCCGCTGGGATCAAGCGAGAGGTGGTGGACGGACAAGAGACTGGAAGTCCCTCCAAAAGACTGAAAGTGGATGACGAAGGGGACGGGGGGGTGGAGCAACAGGACCTGGAGGACGAGACAGTTTGGGAAGATGTTAAACCTGTTGAGCAAGGTACTAGTCATTTGTGCTGCTTCTGCAGGTTGCAAGCCCAAGTGCAATGTGTGCACGTTTGGCCTCAGTCCCATGTTAGACAACCACAGTTGCACCCTGCTTATGTGCTACTGGCCACTGGGTTATTGGACCCGCTGGTTCCGACCTTGTGTTTGCAGAATGTTCGCCATTGCCGGAACGGAAGGCATCCAGGGAGCGGGCAACCTGTTCAAATTCTGTCATCCCCCCTCTAACGAAACACTGAAAAGATTCCGTTTGGGCAACGACCATGTGTCAACCTGCAAAATGTTTCTCCAAGGTGCTTGAGTTGAGGCAGTTCTGTGTACTGACAGATAACAGCGACAAAGACGACGACATCGAATGGGTTGATGCTGGCGTTCCGTGATGTTTGGACGGTGTCGATAGACTATTGGGGAGGTGGGTGCATCGGAGGGCATCGTGGGCTGCTTCAGTACCCATCGTCCGGAGGCCTGTTTAGGCCCTAGAAAGAGTGATTTGTGGCCACGGAGTAGCTATGGTATTTGATTTGTCATGGAGCAGTGCAAGCCAGAGGGTAGTTGTGGCTGTGGTCTGGACATCACGCGCCAGTGTCGTGATGTCGAGGTCGACACGATCAGGATGCAGTTGCCATAGTAGGAGAGTTGTCCGTGCAGTGAAATTAACTACCTGCACCAATGGCTTTGTGCCAAAGGCGGTGCCGGGTGGCCGCAGGATTTGGGCCGGCTCTGAGTGGATGCTGTCGACCCCGAGTTGTCGGCAGTCGGGCCTGAACCCGGTGTAATATAGAAAAGCTGACCCGCGTCAGTCGGCAGCCGCCGGCGCACGAACCTGCAAGGGGGTCCCGGCACCCAAGTTGGTAACAGTGCTGTGCCTTGAGTATCCACAAGTTGATAATAATCACAAGCCGCGTCGTCCCACGGCACCAACTCGCGACCAGTTGCTATAAAGGTATGTTTGGTGCTCTGCACTGAGCTAGAATACCCACGTATTTTACTCTAAACTCGCTGCTGGAATGGGCAAGCCAGCCAACCACCCGTTGTGCTGCGGTTTTTTCTGGTGGAGCCATCTGCCTGACACGGCGAATCTTAACACATGTTGGGCGGCACCAGAAACGCGCTTGACCATTCCAACAAGTTTCACGATACCAGTACTCGATCCTCGGCAGATAACTGCAGTTCAACACTGTCCACACACGGACAGAGACTGCGCGAACTTATAAGTCTCACCAGCCAGCCCTGCCAAAAGGAGAGGCAAGAGTATTAGCTGTATGCTGAAAAATTACGCTCATCCACTGGTTTTCTCCGTCACAGATGCTTTGGCGGGTCGTGGATGGACTGGGCGCAGATCGTGCCTGGATCAATACGGAGTCAGGTCGTGACGTCACGTTGCACTGTGATGATGCACAATGTGCCGACGACCGGCATGCAGCATCCCGGGCGGTGAAACCGGAAACTCCACCAGCCCCATCAGCTGCCGCACTGCTGCTAAAAGCACACTGCCGCCGCTCTGCTGGGCCTGGCCGGGCGTGTTGAGTTGATCAACCAAGCGATGTGAAAACCACTTGTTTGTGCATTGTCGCAAACTGAATGCATGTCCAACTTCAAAGGTTCAAGCAACCAATGAAGGGTGCACAGGACATCCCACGAATGCACCGCAGATAACATACAAATCACTCGAATACCCGCATGATAGGGAACCAAGCATCCTTGCAGAAATACGGAAGGTATGTGGCATGTGCACAGTACACAACACGTGCGCCACCGCATGCACACATAATACACATATCAGAATCCAGCGAAGAAGTGGCTATTTCATTCATACACATGTCAAAATTGCGCGTCCTCCATGGTGTGTCCATGATATGGTCCAGTGCACTCAAAAACAAATTCAGGCCCCCGCCAAAAGCCTGCGCCATGCCTGTGCTCAATGTACATACTTAAACAGTCCACCCAGCCCTCTTGAAGGCCTCTCGTGTTCCCTGGGAGGATTTGGGAGCGCAATGCGCTCAGCGCATCCAAATCGAATTGGATCGTTGAAACTGCCAAAAGTGCAGCGAGGCCCGCTGCTACACTGGACCGTCTGTGTTCATGGTGGATATGTACTTATCGTAGTAAGATGCCGCCTTTTCGAATTCCCCCATCTCTGTGTAGATATCTGCAATGGTTCCGTAGGCATCAGCATCTCCAATGTGGTCATCAATATCACTGGAGATGTCGAGAACCTGCTCCAAATGCCGAATCGCAGTGCGGTACTGGCCCTGTTGCCACATGAATGCGTTAAGCATGGGCAATGAACCAATTGCATTGTTGTCATGATGATAATGACGATGAAATGCCATCAACTACGTGTCAGCCACCGAGGACTATGTTGCCACCAAACAGCACAAGAACGCTATGTCCATTGTTGTCCCAGTGTTCGTCTCACTCGTGTGCCAACTATACGCCTCTACATTGGGGCATACAAGCCACCCAAATGAAACGCACTTCTCTGCATCTCACCCACAACCCTCCCGCTCTCCTCACCACCCTCAATGTACAACCCAGCATCCCAGAATCCTAATTGGACTGTTGTGACGCTGACACATGCCAGGGTGCACTGCAAACACATACGCACACAGGCAGTGCTGTGCGCATAAGGTATATCTTGGCTGCGACGACACCTCCACTCGAGTGCATCTGGTGTGGGAGTGGCATGATATGACCAACGATTTAGGGAGGCGAATTGGGGTGGGGTGTTTGGCGAGCGGGGTGGAGGGGGTGGTGGGGCCTGGCCAGAATATGTCGGAGATTGGGGGTTGCTCATGGGAAATGGTACAGCCAGATTGGGCCGTTTTCACTGGAAAGCTGGAACGTTGGCAGGTCCTGAGGAGTGAGAATGGGGCAAGCTACTTTGCGGCTAGATTCCTCGCTCCTGACACCGTTATCAGCCTGGCAAGTCCACTGCCTTGGGGTGACGATTTCCGATTGTGGGTTTCTGGGCAGTGTTCTGTCTGTGGTGCCATGTTTCCTTCTCTACAGTGTCAGGTGCGCCACGGAACTTCTGAGTGGGCACACTGGGTAGAACTGTCAGAATGTACAGTCTTGCAAATTGCCTGTCAGCAGCTGCTTGACAATCCGTTGCCCCTGCCAACAGAAAATGAAGTGGGTTTCGGAAATCTGTTGAGGACATGCCATCTGCCACAATGGGTGAAAACTGCCGCCCATCGGCACCATCCAACATTCATGCCAAGCAGCTGTCAGCCATACCTGTAAACGAGCGGCAGCGGCTAGTCCCCGCATTGCCCTCCTCTCTTGGATCCTGTCTTTCATACCCTTGGACAACATCAGAGCCTTTTCAAAACGTACCATAGCTGCAGATCCACTCCCTTCCTTTAGCCTCTTCTTGCCTTCCTTGAGGGCTTCACTGCAATGTATCTGGTCTTCTGACATCTCCTCATCCAAACTGTTCAACATCACAGATGGAGGTGGTCTGACAACCACCGACGATGATTGTCCTCCTGATAATTGAAAACAGCACATGGTGCAGGTGAATCGTATATCCCACACGTGGCAGACTGTGGGACAGAATACTGGACCACTACAATCATTCATGCACGTGCGCCCATTTCCACGCACACCAGGATTCGGAGTGCCGTTTCTGAGTGCGTTTCTTTGTAATCTACCTTTCCAATTCATGATGGTCCGATCACTTTCTTTCCGGCAATGTTGTCCTTTTCTTGTCAACGGACAACACATAATGAGTCCCTGCAGCATTGATCCAGTCCCAAGCTGCCGACCCACATATCAGTGTGTGACAGGTTTGTTTGCTTCAGAACATCCAGATACACACCAGGAGGTGCATCCACAACTCCTGACACAGCCATACTGTTGCTGCCGCCATCATCGCTGCTCCTGTCCAGATTGCTGCTGCCGATAACTGGTGGTGCATATGTCAAGCCCGGTGCATAAACAATACCCGAGCGAGCATTCTGTCGGAGGGACATATTGATTTTGCGAAGCCGTTCATTGAGAAGCTCCAGCTCAGCTTTCCTCTGACGTGCTGAGATCCCTGGAACATCCGAAAAAAGGTAGTGAGATGATGCAGAACATTGCGTCACTTTAGATTTCAGGGAAACACATGTGCTGTTGTGCTAACATCGACACTGTTGCTGCGGTCCAATAATCATGTCATAGTACTTACCATGGCAACCATCATTAGAACAGTGACAAGTAGAAGGTTAGAGTTGGCGTGCAACCAATGTGTTGCCAATTCCAAGCATTGCTTGGATTTCCATAGCACACCAGTTTTCAGTAAGGACTCTTTGCTGCTTAGTAACCACACAGGCTACCACCCAACACAGATCAGCTGTCATCCAAGACGAATTCTGCTGCAAATTCTTCCCCTCCACATGGTCTTTGTCACATGCCACACCAATGTTGGGGGGGAGAGGGGGGGGGGGGGGGGTCAAGCGGCATCTTCATCACACCAGCTACAAATGGCCATCCTGGCTCGAGCAACTTAGGGAACTTCCCACCTGCAACAAGTGCACCAAGCAAAGCAATGGCCTCTGTGATGCCAACCACATCCACACCAAAGGGCGTGGCACACAACTTCCCATCCTGTGTCATCCGAACCTCCTTGTCAAAGCCTTCGCGGACAACTGCCTCTTTCTCCAACCGATAGTTGTACATTCTCTCCTCTTCTTGTGCAAGTGGCCCTCGGCCCCCTATACACAAAAGATGTGCTTTTACCGTGTGTCCGCAAATCACAGGCATGGCTAGCTGCTCAAAAGAAAGGAAACCCCAGGCTTGTTGGCACATCGTGCCAACTTTTGAAAGAGAGAGCTCATAATCGCTACAGTTGAAGCTCATTGAAAGGAGTCCTGTCTTCTTCAATTAATAGGTACTTGGTGATCTCAGGGGGCAGGATACATTACTCTGAGTAGCCTAAAGTAAACTCTTGTCATCAGCCACAAACAATGCACTGATGTTGCAGCCACTTCATCCTTGACAATTGGTCATCATGAACGTGCCGACCACCGCGTAACCTGGAAAAAAGTTTGTAGGAAAATTTGTGACCATGGAAACTTTAAATTTGCTTTCCACTGTGACAGAAGTTCCAGACAAAAGCAGTGCTGGGTAGTAGTGCATCACACCAAGCAGCAGAGCAATAGATACAGTTCTGGAATATAAGGGCAGCGAAGCAGCAGGTGGCTGTCACTGTGCACCAAGCATGGATCGACAGGATACCGTATTCTATCAAACCCTTCCACATTGTAACCTTTTTTGTGGAGCAACACTAACTAAAGTTTTGCAGAGCAACGGTAAAAGAAACAAATTACGCTCGGAAAAGAAAAATGCGGAGCAAAAAGACTAACGGTAAAATTTCAAATGCAGAAGGGTTGAATGTTATACAGTACTGCACTCACTAAACAGAATTCCATAAGGCGACTTGGTGTCTAAATCACAGCAAAGCAGGCTACAATGAGCGAAATGGCACCATCACAACCTTCCACCTTTTCCCTCATAGAAGAATAGTTGTCAGTCTGGCTGCAGAAAGCAATCAGCCACCTCACCTGTGTCTTTCAAGAAAGGACCTGCTTGTGCAGGTGTACTTGAACCCAGAACGGCTCCCAATATCAATCCAGACATGCCCAACAGTGCATCGCGTCGCCATTGACGTGAGTCCACAGAGCCCTGATGCACACGCCACAGCAACGGTCTCTTTCTGGCTAGGCAGCAGTCACCACCAGGACAGCATGTGCACATCAATAGTTTTCCAGCATGGTCGTATTGCAGGTTGCCCGGTCCAAGCTGTGGCTTTCTCTGTGCTCTTGAGACACATCACAGTCACAGTGACATGTCCAACAACCACTAGTTCAGCATCATGCACAGCCAACAAGAAGACATCCGGTCAGCCAGAGTTTCTGATGTACACTGTACCCATGTGCCTGGGCAACCATGCTCCACAATGCCTCCATGACACGGGACATGCACAACTGTGAGGCAGATACAAAGCTGCAGTGGCGCAAATAGACAGTCATCCTGCAAGGGCGCAGGCCTGTTGAAACCGGCTGGGGGTAGGTTGCCTGTCTTTGTGGCACTGATGGCTCAAAGCTGCATGGCAATGTCAGTCCACGATTGCTCCCGCAGTGCAGTGAAAGGCCTGACCTAATCTCAACGAGTTGTTGCCTCCAGTTCAATTCAAAAGGGTGCTGCACTGCATTCCCTGCTTCTTTGTTTTCAGTGCTGCATGCCGCTCCACAAACTTTGCACCTGACCTAAGCCCTCCCCATTCAGGAAGTTTTGAGGTTCCTTGCCAGCCACTTCTTGCCTGCCACCTTAGAGATATCACACACTAGATAGATGCTATACCCTTCTGCTTGCCGTCCATTCTAACCATGAGTGCTTCACTGTAGAACAAAACCTGGATTCAATGCCCATACTTGCTTCCGATCTGTTGCTTCTTCCTGTGCCTCCTCTACAGCCCTCAAGAGCTGGCTGCCATGGCCATCACTGGGTGTGCCAAGGTGCCTTATGTTTCGCAGTGGTGCATGTCTCCCTGGCAGATGAGGCTGGCAGGGCCCGCGCATCACACTGCCCATTCCTGTTGGAAATCCCCTGACCATCCGAGGAGGGCTCATGTTGGCCTGTCCACACACAGCCCACACATGCTGTGACTCCCTGCCTACAAATTCGGGCACATCTGCGTCATATCTTACATTGTACAACAAAGCCTCAGAAATCTTCCCTTTGGCTGTGGGCTGGGGGGTGGGCCCAGGAATTATGTAACCATTCTATTACCCATTCCTGTTGCACTCGGAGACCGTCTGTGCCATCTTGAAAAGCGTTGAAAACAAGGATCACCGAGAAAATCTTGCCCAGGAGTGGGTGCCCGTCGCATGACAAACTTCCTGCTGTTGGAATACCAAGCTTCCCTTGTTACCATTTCAGCCTGCGTCCTTGACAGAGTGACACGTATCAAGACGATCGAGGCTAACGAACGCGTCATTCTGAGAACGGGAGAGACTAGCAGCATCGAGGCCGGAAAGCACAACATGCCGCCCTTGCCAGGGTACCACATTGACGATTGTGTCCGCTGATGGGCACATGCCAATAATGCACAATTGATTAGGGGATTGGCGCTCAAGTTGCGCCGACCAGCACTGAAATGAGCTTCACACAGACACTGCCTGTCAGGACATTCCGCATTGGCAGGATAGCGCGAGAGGGACGGAGACACCTCGGAGGCAGCCGTGCGGGCGGAGCCGGCAATCTCCAGGCCCAGTCGCCGGTCCACGCGCCGCGCGCGATTGGCTCGTCAGGAATCCGCCAGACGAGCAAGGGTGGACGCGCGTGCCACTCATTCCCAAGGCAGGCGCTAAGGTTGTCAAAGCCTCAAGTCGGTCCTCAGTCGCGGGGCGATCGAGTGCGCGGGCCGGCCGCTTATGTGCCCACAACTCAGATGAAACACAGTGAACGGCGCAACCCAAGCGCTTTCTGACTCGAATCGGAACGACCGTCGCAAAGGCACCGGGAAGGGGGCTCTTGAGGTTACAGAGGGTTGAGCGACATTCAATTGCCCGTTTGACCGCAGCGGATGAATGCCATTGGCGGCCTGGACTTTCAGAAAGGGTTGGCGCGGCCCCCGGAGTGCGAACAAGGAGGGACGAGAAGGCCACCCGCTCACTCTCAACGTGTCTTCCAGCTCCGCAGGTTTTCAGAGGCGCTGCAGGCCGTGAGCCGGTGCAAGACTTCGCACCGGACCAAGCGGGGTGTGTTGGTCCAACATGGACCTTGGGCTCATGTATGGGAGCGCGGTCTGAGTGTGTGTTCGCGGGCGCTGATCAGTTGGGAAATAGAAGCGAATAGGAGATGGGCATGATTAGGCAGTGGGTTTTAGGAGATGAATTGGGAAGCTTAGGGGGACTGTGGGTAGCAATGTGGGAGTACGGAAGAAGGGGGTAGGTAATGGTTGGGGACCTCAGGAACGCCGGCGGGCGGAAGGGTCCAGGCAGGCTGGCTTAGAGGAATAGGTACGGAGAAGTGGGGACAGGATGGGTCGGACGGAAGGGTTGGGAAGTTCAGAGGGAGTTCGGGGAATTGCATTCTGGGCGAGCATTGCCAGTATGCTAGCGCTGATCGATGGAGCTGGACGTGTCATGGGGGGTGCTGTCAGTCAGCGGGTACACCTTCAAGGTGTACAAGGCTGTACAATCGAGGGAACGCATATGAAAAGACAGACTGTTCTGTAATGAATGCTTGGGTTCTGACCAAGTCGGACGTGCGGCCGCGCAGGCCGAGTTGAAGCGCGCAACCTCCGCCGGGCATCCGCGAGTGAGCCGGCCGCTGTGCTGCCCAGTGACGGGTACCGGCGCTAACAACATGGACCTTGGGCTCATGTATGGGGGCGCGGTCTGAGTGTGTGAGCAGGTATGGCGCATACGATACTGGATGGGCGATAGATGTCGCCTTCGTCCAGGGTACGTTGCGTTGCGTTGGCACACGACTGTTCCAATGCCGTCCGGGTTTCCTAATGTCTGCGTGGCGCCTGCTCAAGGATGCATGAGTATCATCAGATTACCCCATTCCCGCAATGCAAGAACAATTTCGGCGGGCGCTACCTTGCGGGACCCTCCTGGCAGCCTTTTGCCTGTTGGATACCTAGCTTGCTGTGTTGGTTCTAGCAACGGGATTGACGTTCAGCAGGGGCGTTTCAGGTCAGGGAGACATGGATGGGCGGTGGCTATGCGCCAGGCATTCTTCGGGGTGACTGTTACAGCATTGAGTTTCTGGAACACCACAGATGGGCAATACTGGACATGTTGCCAAGGGGTTTGAACAAGGGCTAGCAAGCTTTGCAATCTTGGCCACTTTCAAGGAGAGCCATGGGTTGGTAACGAATGCGCCTCTCTCAGAATAGCGACCAACTAAAAGGGGTCCCAGGAACGTCCTTTGTACTGTTTGGAGCCTCCCTGCTGGCCCATAGTGAGTTTGGGATAGTGGAGGGCACCCCGGCTTGGAATTTGTAACCATTTGGTATGTCATGTTTATCGAGTGAGAGAAGTGCGGTATTTTGTGCAGAACCTGGCGTCAATGAGGGATCGGCTCTGGTCGAAGAACGCCTAGACCGAGGTGCAGTGCCGCCCAACACTCGCTTCTCCATCTGCACTCCGCCCAGCAGCCGAAGGTCACACGCTTCATGGCAGGGCGACACGATGTAAGGGACATACAAAAGGGACGACACGATGTTGAATTTGGTATGCTTAGCGGCAAATTGACGCTTTTGTGTGTGTGGGGTGGGGGGTGGGGGGGTGTCCAGACCTGTGACGCTAAGAGATTATGTTATTGCCACAAATCGACATAAAAAAAAGGAGGATGTCCAAAAAGGCCCCTTATAGGCAGGAAACAAACCGTGACTTGTTCCTAAACCCCCTGCAAGTACCCGATCGTCAAAGAAGGCCATAGAATGGATCAATTTGCAGCTATTGAGGCTGCCCATCTCGCCTATAATGGCATTAGAATCCCATTTTTTAAACAACTAAAATCAGCGCAACTTTGACTGGTTTTGTCTTCAAAACACCCAGAAGTTGTATGGCACTGTCAGGTAGTGTTGCTGAGTCATCCCTGCATCGACATAGCGTCTGGGCATCCCTAGCCCGAGCACAACTGACGCGAGTGATCGATCCTTAGTTCTCAATTCCGGCACTCGGCCAGAGGATGATGCTGACGTGGCCGTGGGTGCTGTCAACCAAATGTCTAGAAAGAGATTGACTGCTGCATCGCCCATGTCCATGTTTCACAGCCATGAACAACGCGGCTTTAAAGTGAGAGCGGAAACTTTCGACCGTGGTGGTGGTGCGCTCGGCGCACAGGTGGCCACAACCGACACTGTAGCTTGAGAGTCCGAGCGGGTAGGGCGAACGCAGAAATGCAACCTTCTGGCAAAATTCGATTGTTCATGCGCCCCCGTCGACTGACAACCATCACTGCAGGGAGCACCACCTCACGCCATCAGTTCACCCGACAACATCAAACCAAGCTCACAAAAATTCAACAACGCGGGCATTGGTTGCAAAGGCCGTATCAAAGCCGGCCGAATAAATACTATAGCGCCCCTTTGTGCATGAGGTCCTCAGTGCGCTGCACGATGTTGCAGACTCCACTCTGCGCCTGTGCTACAGCTTCTCGAGGCAGGATGGGCACTTCCACTTCCTCACGGTCTCTGCCCTTTCCTGGGTCATCTGACAGAAGTGAAGAGAACAAATTCAGCAGCAGTCGAAACTCACGGCAGCTGGCCGGCTGCAGATCGCCACAAACAACCATTGGTAACTATCTCTGCACGCACATTCAGCATCGCTCACCACAAGGGAAGCCCATCAACAGCAATGCACAAGAAATCTCAACAACACCACTTGCTTGCAGGAACAGAATTTGACAGTCGGCGAGGGCGCTTGTGGTGTCCAGTACCTTGATGACCCGACAGAGCGCACTTCAGTTCCAGCAAGCGCGTCCCGGACTTGCGGCAACAAAAGAAAACCAACAACGAGAGTTGATGGCCCACCTATGGGCGCAAAAGGACTGAGCCTGGAACCATTGACGGCTTCTTCTTCTGACTCCTACAAGTAATGTTCCTGGCATCCCTTACGACACTCACCTTTGCGCAACGACCGCAGTACCAAATATCGCAGTAGTCACAAGCGATCCAAAACTCCCCACTCCTGCAACACAGCAGAATTGCATAACATTTGCTACGCTATTGGAGCAACGCCCAACACGGTAGATCTAGAACCACCCATCCCACCCAACCCATTTGGAAAAATGCAAGTCAGGATTGACGTTACCATAGTTGGTGAGAAAAAATGCCCCCAAAACGACTGCTTCTGGCAAGTCCATGTCGTGATGCATTGAGGTGTTTGTGCTCCACAGCGACAGCTGTTAAGAGTAGGACAAGCGACACCCACGTACCGACTACGCGTTGTTGGGGGCTGGTCGAATTCATCACTGTTTGCTCCCAAACTACCTCTTGAACCCACTCAACACTGAGCAGCCCAGATTTTCCAACAGTTCGCATGCAATGCTGCATGCAAGAAAGATGCTCTCTCATAGGTTAATTCTGACAAACGCCATTAACGACCGAAGCACAGGCAGCTCTGATTTGAGGCCAATTGTCCTCGTGAGTACGTTGCTAAACCATGCAACTTCATCCAATGTCGCAGCAGTACTAACATGGGCATTCATTACACCCCTCCGGACCCTCGACTGCAAAATATTTGATCTGCATTCTGCACAGTGCTGTGTGTTTACACCCCGTCTTTGGAGAATTCTACATCATCCATCACACAGTGGCACAGTCTCACCACCTCTTTGTCCAAAGGGGCTGCCCATTGTACGACACAAGACCATACCTGTACAATTTGCCACACTGTGGGCATGGCTCACCCTCACCATCCTCCCAACCACCATCTTCAGCCTCTCCGTCTTCCATCTGCATCTCCTCTTCGTCCAGCACACCAGCCCTCTGAGGGTTTCATACACAAATCGACATCGCGTCAGCCAAAAGGGCAGGAATTACGTGCACACAGCATACAGCAATTAGCACCTGTTGGTTGTCAGACTCAGATATTTGAAAGAACATGAGCTGCAAAGGGCATAAAAACTGCATGAAACGACAAGTCCCAGCTGATCACCTTCTGGTTGATTGTGTTGCAGTCAGTGGACAATTTGCGACATTTTGCCTCTGGTTCCTCGACCAGTTTCAAAGGTTCAGCATCAACAAAACCGTTTATGCAAGATATGCAGATGAGAATGGACAACTATGAACTGCAAAGGGCGGCGGCGACCCGAACATAACAGAAACCAAATAACACATGTGCTGGATACAGACCTTGTTGTCCTATTCCTCTGCTTCACACAACAACAGGAATGCAAGGTGGTGGACAAGGAGCAGCCATCAAGGCAATGAGCAAAAGCACATTCTATTTTGGCAAGCGACCTGGAACTAACGTTGATTGGGGGCTGCCATCTGTACAACAGTGAAGAAACAAAGTGGACAGGAATTGAAGCCAGTCATAGGGCCTGCTGAACCAGGGCTTGACTCCTGGAGAGTAGGGCCGCTGGTTATCATGGGGTGTTCAATGTGGTGCACAATTCAGCAAGCACAAAAATTATGCTGCTCTGAGTTGAAAACAGCCATCAAAACATGATAAACTGCTGCTCTTGTAAGCACAAGCCTAGGCAGCAATCGCGAATTGCAGCAGCACTGCAGCACGATCGTCTTGCCTGCCGTATTGATGCCGGCAGTTGCTGAAGGCCTGGCTGCCAGGCATGATTATTTGTCCGTCCAGAAATCATGTCATAGCAAGTTGGAAGGCGATTGATCAACTCAAACAGCTCCACTCTGGAACAGCAACAAATGAGCAAAGGTGTTAGCATCTGGCTGTGCTGTGGGCAAATGCCAGAACATCAAAAGTGTGAGAACTGGGTATGGTGGTGTGATATAGGGCATGGACACAGTCATGATGTCCTTCATGCGAGGCACAAATCCCCAGAGGAATACATTCCTGAACTATCCGCACAATTTTGTGGCTCCCACAGCACCTCTCCTGGTGTGATCGCTGCTGCGCCCAAGGTATGCCACCCATCTAATTCCGCAAAACCACCATCACAAACACCATCGCACTTGGTTTGTGCGATTTGGGCACACTTTCCTACAAGAAGTCATCATGCTTGCAAATCGGATACCTTCACAGTGAGTACAGCTGCACATCCTGTGGGGAGGGCTCAATTTGCTGATGTGTGATATTGGAGAGCAGAAACCTGTCTCACCGGGGAGATGAGTTGGCTTTCAACGTTCATCTAGACTGCGCCAGAGAATTGACACCAGTAGAGCACAACTGTGTATAACAGATGGTGACATTTGCTTCCAGCAACAGAGTCATCAGAGGATATACAATTTTCAAGATGCTGACAGATTTCTCTGTTGATTAGTAATCAAGGTTCATAGTGGCCTGGATTGCTGTTCTCTTTCTTGGCTCAATGTAGTTCCTTGAATCATGGATTGCTGACTTGACAATAAGTGAGAGGGACACCTTGCCAGGAAATCTATTCTGCTTTTTGGTACGCTACTGAGCAAACAGCAATGTCCAGCTTGACTGCTCCCCATTGTAGCTCCCTAGAGGATGCAACGAACGTCAACTGTGTGTGTTCCATGTTGTGCATGCATGGCAAGAGTTTCCGTTTACCCACCATTGGGGTAAACACAGTTGGCACAAATGAGTGTGATGACTGCTGTTTGGGCTGCACATCAAGCAATGGTCAGACCCATCGGTTGCACGTCCAGATAACAAAAGGAGACAGAAGCAAGTAACTAGCACCAAAAGAGATGGCAGCAATCTGCACATCTTCTACAGCAGTGTTGCGATGTGCATTTGAGCTCCAGAATGCGACACACTCTCTATTTTGCCAGTGCATCGCCACCACAAATGAAACCCAGGCAACCACAGCCAGATTTCCATACATGGTGGCCTTCAAAAGACATAAACCTCCAAATGATGAGCCTAACACTTACGTTGCAAATCGCTAGAAAGGTATCCATTCATGCACACCAAGCCAGCTAGTGGTTCAACGTTGGAAAATATGGCTACTGCCTCACCTTTGTTGCTTGTCCAGGCGAGACCCAGTAAAAAAAGCAAGTGACATCAGCCACGAGTCGGAGTATATGGATACCAGAGCAAGCCAATCGTCCCTCTGTAAGCCAAAATCGAAGCACAAGAACTTAGCTTCAGTCCCAGAACAGCATACAAGTGGATTGAAGTTGGGAGTGCCTTCGCACGCTCTCTTGCACCAAACGTCACAGCTGGCATGTTGTGAGCATATTCTATGCAGTCCTCAGCAGATTGGCACAAGGCAAGAGCAGCACAAGCATTGTGCACAAATGCACAACAATATGCACAGATGGTTCAGCTAGGGGCAGCATGTGCCCCAAAAGTCACCTGCATTCCATCCCTTGCATAATTTATGCCAAGGGTTGGCTCCGGCAGCTCTGTTGGCACCTCTTCTGATGGAGGGCAGACTTTCCAACTGCCGTTTGGGTAGCCATACAAACACAGGTTGTCGTGATTGGGGTCACAGAGCTGGTAGAACTTCTCAAAGCTGCACTCAGCCAATCAATTGATCAGAAACCAATACATTGCCCGTGAACCAAACCCAACTGCTGTGCAGAGCATTTTGAAGCCGCAAATCATCTGATGTAATGGCAGACAAAGGTGCTAGCCAAAGCAAAACACCACAATATGTAGGACAGTTGGGTAGCACGCAGCAGGTTCCAAACCGAGAACATCATCTGGTGGAGGCAGCACATAAATGGCTGTCCAGGTCAAATCAGCATTCCCCAAAATGGTGGAGAGGACATTAGCTGCAAGAAGCATCTCGTTCCCCCCCATGCGCCCCTCAACTTGCACTGGCCAGTGCACTTGAACACAAATACTGTATGAACAGTGCACGGAAGCCCAGCACATTGGGTGTGCAAAACAAAGGACTGGATGTGAAACACATTCCAGCCAAAACCTGGTGGAGATGTGCTTATCTTTGGGCCCCACATGCTGCACAGTAGGGACTATAAAGGCAAAGACGGCAAGTCCTCTGCCTGCCAAGATAGAGGGGAGCATATCGCAAAGACCATGGCAACCACAATGAAATCCAGAACGTGTGGTCATCCATCACTGGGCCAAGGTACCCCATCTGTGAAGCTGATATGTGAGGCATGAATAGCCTGCAATACATTCTGCAAGTTACAGCAGGATCTGCTTCAATGCAAAAAGTTCACACCAGCTCATGAAGTGTATACAGGGGAACTATTCCCACCATTATTGTTACTGAATGCCTGCTAGGTTTGTCAGTGGCGAATGTCTGGGTGCTTACTCGGTAGTCAACGCACGAAGTATGGCCATTCGCCTCCCCTTGTAGTCTTCGAATGCGTCATACAACGATCTCATCCCTACACCCAAAACTGCAGGCGACATTTGTTAACATCAGCTTGGGTCCAGGAGCCATTGACACAACGCCCTCTGTTTCATGCACAAATGTGCTTGCAGCCTGCACCGTCCCTTGCGTGCATGCCGATGGGGGAGCCTGCGTTTCCAGAGCTCTGGGCCATGGTCGCCATATGGCACCCGTGGGCGAGAAGAAAGATGATGATGGATGGGACCATCCATCTTTCTCAGGTGATGGAAATAAACAGAGTGGGGAGATCACGAAGCCACCAGCACCCGGCAAGCTCCCCACAAGACGAGAATGTTGATATGTCCGCAGGATTGGCCCAGTGTAAGAATAAAAATAAGAGAAAACCTGGAAGAGAAGCTGTCCAGAAAGTGGATTGTGGAGATGTCCCTTCATTTCCGGGTCTTTGTACCGCGCTTCAAGCGCAAAGACGCGCATTCGTGCCCGCCGCGGAGAGCCCCGCCGCCACAGTGTTCCGTGCGACAGGACGGGGCCCGGTCCGGACGCGCGTGGGCGTGCACCAGTGACCGGGAAGACGGGAATGTATGTCACGTCAACGGAACCGCACGACGGCGGACAATTCTTCGCCCATACGCCCGCGAACGGCCCCAACAGCCCCCACTGCCCGACCGCCTAATGACGTCGCACCAGCCAGGCGCTCCACGGCATCCCCGCGCGCAGGTCGTCGAGAGCCCGGGACGGCCCCACGACGGGCCCCGCAACTGCCGTACAAAAAGTGCTAACATGGGCCGCCCACGACCGTCCCCAGGATGCTCGGATCAGAGACAAAATTGCCTGCTGAGCGTCGCCTCCAGGGGTTTGGGGCCCGGCGCGAGGTGCCCGATCACCTCGTGGCGCGGCCAAAGCGCCGAAGGCGAGTGGGCGTCGTCGCCCATGGCGCCACCCATGGGCGAGGGCGGCGGATAGCCTCGCCACGATTGGCGGCGATCGCGGTGAGCATCTGCAGGGATCCGGCTCCCTTGGGCGACGCCGAGCCGAACGAGGCGAGGGTCCTCAGCAACCGCCGGCGATGCGCGGCGGACGCCCGAGGAGGCTCCATACCCTCGAGCAACCGCGAAGGGCCCAGGCGAGCCAGCGCGCCGAAACCGCAGCAACGGCGGGACGACTCAAAAAGGCGTGCGAGAGTGCCGCTCCTGCGCCGTGAAGAATTCGAGGCGGCCACACAACGGCATCCCCGCCACAAGGACGCGGAACTGTGGGCCTGGTGCGACCTTGCCTCGCCCATTCGAGGCCCCAATCATTTGCCCAACGTCCCGCGGTCCCGCGGTGGGACGGCAACTGAGTCCCACCTGCGCGGCCCTCCACGCACCGGAGCGGTTCTCCCGCCGGGAGGATGCGGACGGCCCGGGGAAGGCCGGGGGCGCGGAGTGCGCGCTGAAGCTCCAAAGGCCGCGTAGAGCAAGGGGCGCCCTTGGAGCGGCGGGGGCCGGCAGGGGGGCCCGCAGTAGGGCCGGCAGCCCAAAGGCGGGGAGGGGATCGGCCACGCGGCGCGGTCGGTTGGCCAGCCGTCGTCGCTCCCCTGCCCGCCGGTCGCCACTGAGCACAGGGGAGGGCGAGGGGTGCTGCGGCGAACACGACTCGAGCAGCAGTTTTTTTTTCACCTGGTGTTGGCAATGGGGGAGCCATTTATGCCCCGGTTTGTCGATGAAAAAGGGCTCTGGACATCGGGCTCCCGCACCCGCGTCTTTCCCACCTTTTTCCAGCCGTTGGAGGCCCCCCCCGCTTGACGCGGTCTCTCGCATCGATCCCCGCGGCCGGAGCGCTGTGCAGGTCCCTCGCGGGCAGGCCGCAGCGGCAGGGCGCGCTTCGCGACCCGTTCGCGAGTAGCCCATCTTATCTTCGGGCGGTTGGCCGCCGCCGATCCGCACGGCGCCTCCCGCGGGGTGTGTGAATTCCGAGGCCAGCGGGGCGAGGGGCGGAGCACGGCCGGTGGGTGGGCGCCAGCGCCGGCATGAGTCTGACGCGAGCAACGCCTTCGCAGCGCTCAGGTCAAGGCGAAGAAGAAGAAGGCGAGGGAGTCGGAGAAGAAGAAGAAGAGCGCGCGGGGGGAGGCGCGGCGGGAGGACTCGCTGAGGCTGGAGCAGGAGATCTTCAGCAGGCCACAACTGAACGTCAGCAACTGGGCTGATTGCGACGACGAGGAGGACGACTTCGACGCGGCCGCCGAAGACGTAGGTGGAGCGCGGGCGGGGGGCGACGGCCTTGGCTCGTGGTTGATGGGCCGACGGCGGCTTGCGTCCGAGGAGTGGCTGCAGAAATCGATGTGCCCCGTGCCCGCGGCCCTATAGGACGCCTCCGAAGCCCAGCCTTGAGCGAATTGAGGCTTGGATTTGCTTGATCCGCGCCCTGGCTTTGCCATCCCGACCACACTGTATGTGGGAAGCGAAGATGTGGAAATAGTCACTGGATAGTAATCGGCTGCGCGTTGGAGCCGCTTGGGATTTTTTCTTGTGGCCGTGGCTTGTGATGCTTTCTTGTGTGTGCTTTCCAGGAGGCATCTGGGGAGGCGGCCACACTAGAAACGGCTGCCCATCAAGACGACGGCCACGATAGTGAAGAGGTGAATGTTGGCCATGTTTATGGTCCAAACCCTTGCAGCCTGACTGTCTCTGATGGCCGTCTGGTTTAGTTGCTAACTGCTGGTGCTATTTTTGGCGTTGCTTCGTTAGGAAATTGATCTGGAAAAGGAGTTTGGTGTTGAACTTGGTCCTGAGGGCGAAGCCGATGTCGATGGAGATGCCGATGCGGAGGCAGAGAAGTCTACAGGTTAGTTTTAACTTGCACATCGCGCAGATGGCCTTATTTGACTTGCATCGCGCAGATGGCATTGTTTGACTTGTTGACCCTGCACGACTGTTGCCCTTTAATGAATGGTGGTTGTTGCTGCTGAGTGGTACAACCACATGCACCAGTGGCATAGTCACGACAGCCTATGTGTGGACAATGCTGGTCGTGACAGCTCGAATGCGATTTATACTGTTAGAAGTCCACAGCAACGGACAACCACAGATGGCGTCAGGATGCAAACCAGCTCGTTTTCACCAGGTCGGTGTGATTTGAAGCAACACATAAGATCATGGCTGTGGTGGATAGTATCTGTCGAAAGCAAACTGGCCACAGCAAGGGCGTCAGAAACAAAACCAATGAATTGCGCATGGGGGAGGCAATGCTTCAAGAACGATTTCTCAAATTTGGGGCTCCAACAGACACTGCTCCCACTTGGACAGCCCCATGCTCTCCCACGTCACAGCCCACTCCAAGACACCATCTTGTCCCTTGTAAGGATGCTGTACTCTGTCATGCATTGCGGCATGATAAAATAGGAGTCTTTGGGAGTGTCCTTCTTGGCAGCAGCAGGATGTTTGCCTGGTGCGATGTGTTGTGTGGTGTTGGGGATTTGTTGCATCAGGAAACAACATTGAGGGAAATCAAGAACTTGACGCACAAGATGCAGAGGAGCAGCAATCTGTCCCCACTCATCGCAGGAGCGATTCAATGCAAGAGCGACAGTTATCTAAGAAGGTGCTTCGATGATTTGGGTTGATGGAGCTCAGAAACCACTTGTGAACTTTGTGTGAAGTTGCTGAGACATCAACTTTGTGATGAGCGCATTGGTCAGCAAGTCTGCAACAAAAACATCTGGCAGTGCTTGTGTGGAGAGGTTGGACGTGAATTGAGCATGCACAGCACAACAGGTGTTACCCCCTTAAGAGGTTGCCACTTGTTCTGTAGGGAACCTTGAAAGTGCTGCTGAGACCAGGTTGAAGGCTGGTGTACCACCACTTCATGTAGCACAGTTTCTGTATGGCATGATAAAATGTCAGTATTTCCACCCTGCGAAATCATAAATGTGTGCATGTTCCGATCGTCTGAATGGTTTAGGAATGAGCTTGTTTACTATGATTGCACTATGGTGCACTGTGATTTCCTAAATAAGTGCAAACTGTAGGCCAGAAAGAGCCTCAACTGTGCATCATGCCACCTGTCACAGGAACTCAAGAAGAAAGAGATGGCAGAGCTGGAGGCCATGCTTGCAGAGATGGGCATTGCCACAGATGAAGCCAGCAAGAAAGAAACCGATGGGGAAAGCGGAAGCAGCAGCAGCTTGAGGAAGAAAAAGGCCACAAAGAAGAAGCTGTCAGTATCTGAACCAGCATCTGGAGACGCAATGCCAAGCGCAGCGAGCAAGAGTGTACCAGAAGGGGCATCAGACAATGGAAAAGACTTGCCCAAAGAGACTGTGACAAAAGAAGAAGCAGATGCTGCAAAGGTGATTCGCCACACAAGTTTTGGGCAATAGCCTGGTGGTCTGTGTCTTTTCAGTTCGGAGCAACAGATCGTTGTAGGGCCGGTTGCTGGGTGTATTGTGTATTGTTGTCAGACGTTCGAAAGTTACTTGGTGGCACCCTTGCCAAGGGGCGACCACTATTGCAGTGATTCGAAAATATGTTCTCTGTCGTTGTGTTGTCGTGATCGACAGGTATCGCTTCGATAATATTGCTCCGGATAAGTGTTATCCTTTTCTTACCATTGATGACAATTTTCTGTTTCCGTTGTCATGGCATTGTCAGCTCCTAAGTCATGCAAATTCGCTTTTAAAAGTAGATGGTAGTGGTAAGCAAACACTGACTTGCGCTTCTTGAATACGGATCGAAGTATAGAGGCAATATTCTGCCAAGTCCCCTCATTGTACGATGTCAGCTCGTCAAGTCTTTCCCTGTGGTCTGGGCAAAACTGGCAGCTGCATTCAGAGTCTTCAGGAGTCCTTTGTAGCGATGATTATTCTACCTATCCCATCAGCACATTATTTTGTGTCCACAACAGCGCTTGGCACTCGATGTCTGGAGCAGAGTCTGGTGGCGGCGTTCTTTGGCTGGGACTGTTGCCTGTAGAAGGACAGTGCTGAACTGATATTGTGAGTGCCTGTGTGACTGCAACACTGTGGATAGAAGAGTTGGCAACTCCACCGCTGAGGAGGGCTCAGTACATGAATAAGGGGTTGGCAGGAATGTTTCTTGACCTGATACCTGGGACTATGATTGTCTGGTTCTGGCACAGCCTGAGTGCTGTGCTTCTTTGCACGATGCCTGTTGGTGCGGGTGGACTCCTGAAATGATTGCAGGCTACACAGCACAGGGACAAAAGAATGGACAACCACCTTGGCGTTGCCAACGTGTGTACAAATGGGCCAGATGTGCAGCCAGTGTTTGTGCCGCAATGGAAGTCAGTTATTGTAGATTGCCTTGAACACGTTGTGGTGGTGTTCTTGCTTGTGCTTCGCTCTTGGAAATAGGCGTGACTGTGGTGGCACACCCTCCAGGCACTCAAGGCAGCTGCCGTAGCCAAGAAGAAGTCCCAGAAGAAGCTCCCTACTGCATCCAATGCAGCTGCATTGGCTGCAGCGGAGGCAAAGGCCCGAATGAAAAAGAAGGGCAAGAAGGATACCAAAAATTACAACCAGGTATGATAGCCTGGCACAGTTAGCTTGCATCTGGCTGCCTATTTTGCATGTGCATGTGTCTGCAGTGGCGTAAGCAGAATGATTGCCAGTATTCACCAATTTTCTGCAGAGAGCAAGAAATTCTGTGGTCACACACGCAGCAGGAGCACAGGTCCAATGTATGCATGATGGCTCATCATCGAAATGGTGTCATGGCCTTGCAACCACAATGCTTCTATGTGCTGAAAGCAGGCTGGTTTGTTGCTGACATGCTGTCCTGTGCTGGACGTTTAATCTCTTGGGATGGCAAGTCAGTAGTGCTTTGGCTCAAAGGGGAGTTGTTGTATCTTGTGTTTACAAACTGGCTGCAATTTGTTAGTGGATAATTCTTGTTTGTATATTGAGGTCCCTTGGCTCCCAGAGCTGATCAGCAGTCTGTGGAATGGCAGGCCCCAACCCGCTGAGGTCAGTGGACCAGACTGAGCTCAGAGGCCGATGTTTCCACACTGAGAGAACTCCTTGGCTGCCTTGCAAGTGCCGGCTGTGTGCTGGCAAGCATCGCCTGCCAACAAGCAGGCCACCGTTGACGGCGCATGAGGCGCATGACGTCAAGATACTGACATGCGGTGGGCAACAGTGAAGACTGTGTCTGGAATATTTTTACTGATAGAATTGAATGACACGAAGGCCCCCAAATTGGCTGCTGCTCTGCTTGCACAGATTTGCCGGTCTGTGTTGTTTGGGGCACTGCACTCCCGTGTCTATCAGAGTGGCAAAAACTTTGGGTGCTTTGCGTTGGGGGCTGTCCACTGGTGTTGCAGACAAATGGTGTGCGATCTGGTAGTCCATGGTGGCAATGGATGCCTTGCAGCTTTGGTGGTGGGGAGACTGGGGCGCAGGCTGGTGTTTGACGCCACCACATTGTTCACGGTGCTGAACCTGCGCGTTTTGTGTTCCGAGTGGGATGGGCAGAGAGGATGTGGATTGACTGGGGGCACATATTTTAGGGAAATGGCATTGACAGGGCAGAGAACTCACAGACAATGCCTTTTCGAAACATATAGAGACAACAAAGCTAGGCTGTGGAGCCATATTGTGCCACAGTGCTGTCGCAATAATTGGTTGGACTGGCAGGTTGCAAATGCACTGGGTTCATTCACCCCAAGCGAGGTTTGCATGGTGTGAGCGGGCAGCTTTTGTTCTTTTTCTTTGCCCTCTGCTTGGGCTGTATTTTGTGATAGATGCAAGAGAGTGAAAGTGTTGCTTGACATTGTGGTTGGCTGCTCCACTGTACTGCGAAGGACTGGTTCGCTTTGAATGTGCGAGAAGTAGCTTGGTCCCTGGTTGAGACACAACTATCGACGAGCTGAGCCGCTGGTGGGCCAAATCCGGATCAATGAGGAGCGTTGTAAGAGCGGGTAGAAACGTGGACGGTGCCGAGTTCTGGTGTCCGATCTGCTGCTGACATGGCCGTCCAAAATTGGAAGACAGAAGTGTGTAGTGGGCGGATACCTACCTACTGCATGTTTCATTGGGCATGGTTGATGTGGCAACAGCATTTCAGGCTCCCATGGGCATTTGAGCAAGTGGACGGAATCCTGCCAGGGCTGGGGCTCGTCGACCAAGCATCTGGCTGCTGTTGGAAAAGGCAGGCGCGTGGGGAAGTGTGTTCGGGGATCGAGAATAGTTTTGTGCAGCGTCTCTCTGCTCGGGACGTTTCGAAGGACGCTGATGGTGCCGCCGTCCCTGATCGCCCACCACCACATTGCGCGCTTGCCAAGTGCCGACATGACATAGCCGTTTTGAACGACCGCATGGCGCCCTTCTGCTGCAACAAACGTGCATGGTGCCACCTTTAGATTGACCAGCCGATTATTCCTGAAAGAAGACATTTGTGCTTATTCAAAGAGGGGCTTGCTTGTGTTGATCATGTCTGATTTTGTGCGTTTGTAGGCTGGCGTGGGGAACACGATTTGAGGCGTGAAGCAATGCTCCCCAGTGCACAGTGTGGATCTCTCATGCGGGATTCGCACTTACGTGCACTGGCCCGCTTGAAAGAGGTGTGAGCCTGCGATTGAATCAGGGGTCTGCTATGTGGTCTTGTGCTGCTGCGCGCAAGGCAGATCAACACCAATATCGGACATTCTAGAGGATTGTCCCGGATATGAAGGTCATGAAGGGTGGCCGGACCCTAAAAACCTAATTTCTAAAATTTAAACATCCTAAACACCTTTAACACCCTAAACACCCTAAATCCGAAAATGACCTTGATGACCTTCGTGACTTCATACCTCCATGATCTTCGTCACCTTCATGACTCCATGGCCGGAAATAAAGGGAACGGACATGGTTCCCCAATATCGAAGCTCTTCCCCTTGTGCAAAGGCAAACCGTCCCGTGGTCGGGATGGCGCTTGCCCTCTTGCCATATAACGAAGGTGCTGCATCAACGTGCAGGATCCTGCCACAAGTGGCCATCATTCCCATCGTGTTGGGATAGTGCAACGCTGGAAAGGTGGTGGCACGGGAATATCGCCCCTGGCCACGTGGCTACGGCTGCACACAGATTGAATGTCCTGGAAGGGCGGTTGGCGGCCCATCCAAGCTCATCGCTTCTCATCCCCACTCTTACAAGAGTGTATGTCGTGTGGATCAACATTGAGCGGCATTCCAGTCAATTTAACACAAGGACAGCCTCCCTGGATGCCTTTGCTTGCACTTGGCGCGTGTTCACCCCTCCCTGGTCAAGTGCAAGATAGTGCGTAATACCGTGGCGACCATTTGAAGGATGTGAGCCGGCGACATGTTACAATGAGTTGCCTTCCGCTGCGATTCAAAAGGATAGGGCTGCTGGAGCTGTCCTTAGCCATCGAATGTTGATGCCCATTTGTCCAGGGATGCACCGGTGCACCCTCACCGCAGTGGAGGACCGCCCTACAAGAGCGTCCCTAGTCACTAGGCGAGGCGTGATAGGACCACGCAATGGGGGCACTTCCAGTGTGGCACCCGCTCAGCCTTCGACTGCGTCATTTGGAACGGGCGAAAAAACAAAGGCCTGAAGCCACACCTTCCGAAACGCCTAAAGCCCAAACCGAAAGGAAGGAGCTGCTCACACATTAAAAGCCGTGCACGGACGGCATCTCGAGACGAGCAGTACAGAAACTTGCAAGAATTACAGGCGCGGCGCAGGTGAAGATGACAACTCCACATCCGCTGTGGCATGGCACAGGACAAGTGCATGCTCTGCTGTCATGTGTATGGCGTCGGGGACTTTAGTTTTCGCTTGTTAGGCCCCCAAGAAGAGAAAACAGCAGCGTGATGCACAAACAATGCCAAAAGTGGTTTGGTCGCGATATCAATTCAGTTAAGATGTGCGAAAGGGTTTGAAGCATTGAAAGAGAAAGCAACATCCGCGACAGGGGTTGTATACACAAGAAAATGGTCGGTGACCGGGGCGCGCTGAACACGATGTGCTTTATCCTTTCCAGCTACCGTTCGCACGAATAATGTTTCTGGCAGTTTGCCACTTGAATGTTTCACTTTTGCGCAGCGCTCACAATACCAGGCATCACAAAAGTCGTAGGCGATCAAGAAATTCCCGTGCCTGGCGCAAAGCCAAAGTATATCAGGTAGTTCCTATCTGCAAGATCCGCCAGGGCAATGCGCACGACAGCCGCAGGGGATCAGACGGCACGCTGTCACTACTTTCTGGCATTGCACTCTTCAGGAAGACAGGGAATGCAATTGAGAACGCGCCAATTGCGTTGACAGGCAGGCAAGGACCCAACCACCTGCGCACAATGCAGGGCGTCCGCACTTACCTTGTGCACGCTGATGGAGTAAATAATGTGGAGGGGAATCGGTTGCGGCATTTGTCAGTGCGTCGATAATTGGTCCCAGCTATACCGATACAACATACTTATCTTAACTCTAAATGGCTACATTGTTTCGCAATTGTGCTTAATTTGGATCAAACAGCGTTGCAAAAAATGCACTGCGTGTTGGCGCAATCGAAAATATGTCCATTCAAAGCACCGATTGAGCAAGATCCTTCCCTAGCTCATGATATTCGCTGGGTGGCAATTCGATGCCGCAACATTAGTGGTAAGCCTCTGTAGGTATGCAGATTTACCTCGTGCCCACATTTTCCAGAGGGATGTTGACCGCGACAATCGTTGCACTGGAGAAGCAATTGCAGCTTGCAAGCTTCTTCGCGATGCGACAAAGGGCTAGGTCAAGGGCTGAGCCGCCGTTTCGGCTCAAAGCGCGGTACATCGATTTGCCCAGGGTATCCCCCCCTGCTCCCGTTGCAGACCACCAGTAGCTGTCTTAGATTATCTAAACATCGACGCCTCGTCGCCTGAGTTGCATCGACTTAAGTGGATACATGGCAGGCTTGCCTTGGGCATGTTGGGATCCGCCTCTGACCTCTAGAAGCGGCGTTCGATGAGGAAATGTGCACCAGAGTAACACATAATTGAAGCAACAGACAAGCTGCAATAGCAAAGTACGACAAATACAGGGACACTGTGAGTATTGGCAGTATTTGTGCACTAACGGACAGCACTCTTCGGGATGCCGAACTGTTGGCGACCCCCATTGCTCCACAGAAGGTTTTACACTTTTTTTCAGCGATGTTCAAGAACCCGCTCTTGCTCCGCACCTAGTCTTAAGTTCAACAATAAATGAACATCCGACATATCAGGTGAGGAACTTTGAGCGCAATTGTTTCGCCCATTTAATCATTCAATTTATATTCATTGCGCTGAGACACTATCAGATTGTCAAATTCCTGATTTTTGGGGTGTGCTTGAATTGGTGCTTGCTATTAGAGCGCGGAAGTGTGAACGCTCTTAAGGAACAAATTCCACAGAAGTACGGACACGCATCGCGCGCCTGTACATCCTCCCACAAAGGGGACAAGCTTCTCCATCGCCATCTTTCCACCCACGCCCTCCTTCTTTGTCGCTTCTGGTAATGTCACGCGATACGGCCATGGTTTTGATCTGAGGAGGCAAATAGACATTAGAAAACATATCATAATGAGGAGAGGGCGATGCAACATAAGTCTGTCCTTCTACCCACATCCAATTGTCCTTTGTCAATGCCAGCAAGTCAAAAAGTTCAGATTCATGCGATAGCAGGAATCGAAGCACATGGCGACCGCGATTCTCTTCATCATGGATGAAATGCAATTCATTATCGTGCCCCAAACCATCTCAACAATTCAGCACCATTGAGAATTCGCACACATGCATGCGCCGGTTTCCGGCTGTTGTCTGTTCAAGCAATTCAGGCACAAAGTCGTGAATATTGATGTTACTGCCGACCAACAGGGGCAACATCATAATAATGCATGTCGAATGTTCAGTATTAGTAATAAATAGATGAACACGCCCTCTTCGCCTGTCTCTCGAAATCCTCCGCTGCCTTTTCCAGCCCTGGCTGCTGCCTGGTGTTGCCGTCGTCGCTCAGCGCCACCTGCTCGAATACTGCCGGGTGTTCGTTGATCACGCGAAGCAACTCCTCTCTGCGGCCGAGCTCCGATAATATTAAGGTCGCTATAGGTCTCTACTGACATCCCAACGGCCAAAGCAGAAAATTTGTAGTCGTCATGTTTTTCTGCTGGCGACAGCTGCGAACTGCCGACAGGCATGATCCTGACCCACAGGAGGGGGATGTGCAAATCATGAGGGCGTTATTAAGCACTGCATTGTTTCGACCTGTTCACGACGCGTACCGCTGCTTCTTGTTGAAAAATGCCGCTTCGTAGAAAGCAGCGGCCTAACTGTAACAGTGCATGGCCGCCATATCAGACCAGTCTCGCCTCTGTCGAGATTCAGCATGATTCAGGGAAAGTGTTTTGGGGCTCTCGGTACATGCAACATGGAGATTCTCCTTTTGAGAAGTCACGCTCGTCAAGCCGTTTGTTGCACCTTCGTGCCGCCAATGGCGAAGTTGATCCCCAGAGCTGGCTGCGGCAACTCGGGGGATATTTCATCCTCCGAGGCGCCCACCTTCCGGCCGCCGGCCGCCGGCCGCGTAGCCGTACAGGCGCAAGTCCTCGCGGCTAGGGCAGCACTCCGAGTGGAGAGATTCAAGGAAACCCGCTGTCGCAGATCGGGATCGAAAGATTGAAGGGTGGAGAGCGCATGCGCCTGGCTCAGGCAAAGGACATTGCGAACTGAATCCCTATTGGAGCCGGCATTGGCCCCCAGGACCGGCATCGAGCGCGGGGCTGTGCGCCAACGACTGGACGTCGGCTGCAGGGGCAGAATGGTGTAGCGTGGATCGCGCGGTTGGGAACCTGAGCTTGTGCCTAATGGCTGTATACAGTACGTATCGAAGCAAGGCCTTTTGACCCGATAGACACGAAGGGCCCATTATGTCCCTGCCGCTGTGCCACAAGGCAGCGATGCCTCGCAATCACCACCGTTGTTGGGAATCGATTTCAGCCGCGGCCAACCACCCACATAGCCGAGCGCGAGTGCACCAGTGAGTGCGACCTTTTGGCCATCATACAAGGCGGCGCGATTCCCAGATTCTGTGCTCAGCCCCTCGCGCGAACTGGCGTCCAACACATCGGTCCCCCACTCTGTTGTCAGAGCTCTCGGTAGGGCCGACCGCCTGTTGAGCCACGTCGCAAACACGTCTGGAGACTCCCTGTGGAGACACACCCGCGCCGCCTGGTGTCCTCTTCGCCGCCGCTGACAAGAGCCTTCAGCCCCGTGCTGCCGCTGGGCGCTTCACAGTCTGCAGGAAAGGGCGCGGTGACAGGCGAGCACACACGCAGCCGATACCCTTCATTTATGGACACGAATGTCCACACAAGGCCATGGAGGTCATTATCGGAAAACGTA